ACAGCTTCCCCATTTCAGTCAACCTGTGCTCATAAAAGGGAAAACCATTGTCCTGAGCCAAATGTTCTTGAGAGAAAAAGCTTAAATCAATTGTAGGAAAGAAAAGAAGTAAGTAGTACATAGTGATTCATTTTCCTACCCAACTTTTACAGGTAGTGATTCCCGCAATAAATATACTCCCTTTTGCTGATTGATTCCAAGAGTTTAGAAGTGAGCTCATTAGAATATAATGCTTTTCTTGTTGGATTTCATGCAACGTTTTGCCAATTGTACAGCTGGGCTTAAGGTACAGAGACAGAATGGATTCCTCACCTGTCACTCCTGGCTCAGCCATGATCATTTGTTTCCTGCCTTCCTCCTTCATCTGAGCACTGGCACAGTCCTTCCAGCAGACTCAAATCTGCTCTGCCCCTCAGCATGTCCTTCCTGGTAGATCTCTTCCACCCTCTTTGTTCCTTAGCCAACAGTATACCTATTGTGACCAAAGAGGTATCTTTGATCCACTGCCCTACTCGAGGGTTGTGGGCAGCTTTAACCATAACCAACTTCTCTCATGCAACCCTGGACTAAGGGCCTGTGGGCTGAACTGCAGTATCTGCCAATATTGTGGTCTGGAGCTCTGGAAAGTCTAGAATACTCTGTAGGATGTGTAAAGGTAGAGTTGGGTACTAATACTTTTGCATCATTTTTATCTAATAATCCCTAATCTTAGTTAGCATTTCCAACTGATAAAAGTATCAGGTATTTCAAACAGTGGGATGATTAAAGCTATGTTTCATTCCAATAAGTAGTAGCATTTTTTTGCAAGCCATTCCCACTATAATATCCTGCCTAAAGAGATAGCCTTCAAAGGAAGGTGGAAAGTGCTCTTGGGTGGAAGTTGTTTTGTAATAATACTGGGAGTTTTTTTTTTCATGAATTTTATTATTTTGTAGAGTGATCAGTAACATCTTCAAGAAAAATGATAGATGTATATAAAAAGATGGCAACTGGTCTAAGAATTTATCACAAATAATAGTTTTTATTTCCAAAAGTACTTGAAAGGACCATGATCACTATGTAAGTCAATTGTTTGTTCATTCAAGCATTTATTTATTTAGCAATTGTTTGGTTACCTACCATGTGCCAAACATTGTAGATGATGCTGAAGAAGGAGTGATGAGCAAGATAAATGGTACTCCCCTCCATAAAGTTTACAGAATATAGGGGAGAAAGGCAATAACATAGCAATGATATAAAAATTAAGTATTTGTAGACATGTACGTTCTGTAAGTAAGATTTTATTATCATTACATATCTTTGAAAGCCCAAAGAAAAGCATTTATAAACATTTTTACAGCAATTCTTGAGGGTACAGTATTACCAACTGTAATTACCAACTTCCAGAACAGACCAAAATTGAGCATAGTAGATTGAGGCATTTAATAAACATATTTACCAGTTTTCCATTTTATTCTCTCCCTAGCAGGCATACTATATATTTCCACTATTTCCAAGTTTCCCCAAGTCACGATGTCCTTGACACCCTGAGACCAGTGTGAGCAAGTCAGATGACACCGTGGGCCCCAGCTCAGAGGCTCACAGTAGCAGGTCACCATGGCTCCCTTTGCCGCCCTGTCCTCATCTGAGCAGTGACTGAAGTACAACCAAGGCGGGCTGGGGCAGCCCTGCCTCCCAGCCCCTCTGCAGGCTCATCTGGGGCAAAAGTTTCCACATCAGGGAAAGAAAAGAAACTTAGCTGGGGAACATCCCGGAGCTCACAAATTACCCTTTTGCCAACTGAAAAGAAAAAGGTGCTTTCACAGTACTTTATGTGGGAGAGCCTTTGTGTACTTGCTGATGTCTTCATGTGTTTAGAATTTTTCTCCTTTGATTTTACATGGGCTTCAAGTTCAACCACAACCCCACACGCACATTTGCACCGCCCTCCAGCTCTGCATGACAGTGCCACCAATTGCTATGGAGAGGGACCGGTTTTTGTCTTCTCATTTACTTTGAGTGTGAGAAGTCGTTATGTTGAATTAAAAACACTGAAACATTGTAATTACAGGGAGAAGAGCTTGGTTCAGAACATCCTTTATTCTGATTAACATAAGGAGGTCAAAATTACATGAGCCAGATGTGTTTAGTTTCCTACACCAACATTCTAATGTGTCAAACTGAAGCTTTCAGCATACTCTTGAGAACTAGAACCTGATGTTTGAGGATTTAGAGTTTACGAAGCTACAGCGCTAATGATAACAAGGCGTCGAGCACGCAGGAATTAAGAAAACCAGAGAAAAAGACCATGACAGGCTCATCTCCATAAGCAGGTTTAGGCCACCAAAATTACACATCAGACTAGTCTCATTTGTTGTTTTTTTTTTTATTCTAAGCATTTTTTCTACTTGAATATCAAAAATTAAGAAGATACTGAGAAGGTAAGTAGGATACAGCAAAAGATAAATGCATATATCTTCACAACACTACTGTGGAGATTGCTTGGTACCATGAAAAGAACAGCAGCTTTAGAGCTGGGCAGACCTGAATTCAGATCCTGCTCTGCTACGCCCTAGCTGTGCAGCCTTGAGTAAGTCACTTAACCTCTCTGAGCCTCATTTTTCTCATTGTAATGTAAATGTGAGATATAATACAGAATAGTTTTAAGATTAGCTTTCCTATGATTAAAATATACCTTGCACATGGTAGGAATGTAGTTAAGTGCCAGTTGCTGGGGTAGCTATTGCCGTCATTATTAAAGCTACAGTGTGACTATGCAAAAAGGAAAAGCAGGAATGTTATCAATGTGGGAGAAACCATGCCAGATTATGTGGCTAGAGATTTAGATACCTCCTGATTGGTTTCATCTATTTGAAATAAAGAGGTCACTATTCATTTCCCATCTGTTTTCAAATTAAACCATGCAGCCTCATAATTTATGGTGCTTATGCATAGTTTTTATTGAACTCATTAAGAGCAATATTCTTTCTAAGCTGCTTGTTCACTTTCCTTCCACATGGTGTTTACTAACCCTTCCTCTTAACACCCAAACTCCTTTTAGCTATTCATTCATTCCTTCGTTTTAGGGCATGAGGTGCTTTTATTGGTAACTTTTAGAGTGGGCAAAAAGAACCTGCTCTACCCTTCTGCCTTTTTAACCAGATCAAAAGGCAAGCTCAGGCACTGTATGAATATTCTAGAACAAGAGTTCTCCAAGTATTGTGATGTTATATGCTTCTCGCTTTGGCCATAAGAACTTACAATTTTTTCCCTTCCTTTTCCCGGGCTTCGTTTCGTTTTTTGGCTTTCCAAATTGAGCCCTTGCAAAATTTTCCTTTTTTTTGGTTTTGACCAATTTGTTTTTTTTTTTTTTAATTTTTTCAATGAGCTTGTGTTCAAATGATAGCCCTCTTCTAATAGCTTTCCAGTGTGATAACCACACATCCCAAGAGAGTTAGAGGCTTGTGTGAGCTTTAAAAAAAGAGCTTTCCAAAGAATGTGATTAATACTACATCCCAAAGCAAGCAATTAGGTACCCTTGTATCTGACACATAGGACTGAGAGATATTAATCTATAGGCAATGCTCCTCTTTTGTGAAAGGCACTATATTGCTTCAGCTGTTTTTGTTTTAAAGTAGGGAATTGTGTCACTGTTTATTCTAATTAGAAAAGATCCAAATGCCCCATAGGTCAGAATCCCAGGGTAATATGAGATGTTCTGTGGGTTTTCTCTCTTTCTTCTTTCTCCTCTCCACCTCTCCCAGACTCTCTGAGGAGCATTCCCATATTCTCATGTAAACTCCAAAAACTCATCTAAACTCCAAAAATCTATCAAGTCTTCTTGTCACTGTTTCTCCAGTATTCTTATTTTCTCCTGCATCCTAGGTGTTTAATCCACTTATTAAATTCAGTAGCAGAGAAATGGGGCCGTCTTTAAAATAATCTGAAGGCCAAATCCATCAATTTAGGACAACAGTAAGACTTAAAAACACTTAACAAAGACTTAGTCCCTGTGATTCAGTTGGACTGATACTTCTCTAATTGCTGTAATGTAGTTAGAGTAAGAAATGATCCTCTCAATTGTCCTTGGAACCTCCCTTAATGTTAATATAATGAGTAGTCCGAGCCTTGCCCAGCAGTCTAAGTGTCGTATGACACACCATTCTGCCTTCATGAAATTAACTGTTCATGTTAGGTAGGTTTTCCTTCTTTTTCAGTTTGAGTATGTTCTCTCAAACTTGTTCTTTTAAGAACCATTAAGGAATTATTGTCTCACATTCCCCCTTTTAAAAAGGAGGGGAGAGTTGTCATTTCCATAAGCACTAGCTTTATTTGAAAGTAATTGCTTTTATAATATAAGTGGGTGTTTCAAAGTTTGGTTCTTGGACCATCTACACTTGAATTGCCTGGTTCTTTCTTTGGGCATGGGCCCAAGAATCTTCCTTTTAGCAAGTTTCCAATTGGTAACTTTATACATTAAAATATCTAAATCACTAATTTGACAGAAAGATGTATATTTCTGAGAGGAAAGAGCTACTTAATTCTTGGACTCTTTGTTTTTTGTTTGTTTTGGTTTTCGTTTTCTTAACAAAAGACATTGGTTTAATTTTCTGCGGTATTGTAGTATTTATAATTTGCTTAGAACAAATTGTTTATTTCTGAACCTACATTTTAAAATCCACATAATTTTATCTGTTATACCAGAGTGGTTAGAAATAAAGGAGGGAAAGGGGATAGTGGTTTAGGATAAGATAGATGGTAGTGGAATCACAAGTCGAGACATTGCTATCCCTTGTCCCATGGTAACAGAACTGAGAAGGTGAGGTAGTGCTGGCCACACAAGGACCATTTGCTGGTTAAATGATGACATAAGTGATACTGCTTTTGCCACCTCTGCCCTAATGCAGTCCATCACACAGGCCAAGACCATGTGTGCTACCATACATCCTGGTCCACAGCTGCAAGGGACCAGAAAGCATGGCCCTGTCACAGTAGTGCTACTTTCCTCTTGTCTCCTGCAGATCCGTAACTCGGGGCCCACGGACAGTACCGTCCAGTTCATCTTCTATCAGCCCATCATCCACCGATGGAGGGAGACGGATTTCTTTCCTTGCTCAGCAACCTGCGGAGGAGGTAATGGTGTTCACTTAGTATAGAAATTGTTGGCTTCTGCAAGGAAGGACTTGGCTATCATAAGAACAGAGTAAGAAGTGACTCTGAAATTACAAGAAATTGAGTGCTGTGGCGGATACGACACTTTATTCTAAGTGGAGACGAATCCTAAAGCAGATATCTCAATAGAGATGCCCCGTGAACACTTTCTATCTGTAGAGTCCCTTTAAAGGAAACAATCTTTACATCTTTCCTTAATTTTGTGGAGGGCCAGCACTAGAAATATCCTAATTTGGCAAAAGTTTGGTCCTGAGGCAGACACTTCCATTCATTTGAGTATAAACTACTCTTCTGCCTGAAGTAAAGACATTTATTTAGGAATCAAGTGAAGAGTGTTTGTCAGACTTACTAAACTAGAGAAAATAATTTATTACCAGGAAAAAAAAAATCACTGCACTATTGACTTAGGCTCAGTTATTTTTCAGCTCCACCCCATCATGCATGCATTAAAAGGAAAGGCATTTGCTTTTTCTTTATTATTCATTAAAATGCATCTCTCTTGAAAAGTCACCGAATAAATTCCTGTCTGTGCTCCATCACATCTGTAACGTAGACAGTATTTTGTGTCGCTGGCAAAGGTTTTCTTTCCCCTCATTTGCTGTTCTTCATAATTATACTGATTACATAATAATTGTTTTGAATTATTTCCCAATAATTTATTTAGACATTTCTCAGATCATTTAGTTTATTTCAACTTTTCTACTATTATAATGTAATGGATAACTTAATGCCTAAGTATTTTTCTCCTTTCAAATTATTTCTTTGGAATAAATACTTTGGAATGAGGTTACTAGATCAAGGAATTTCAGAATTTTTGTGGCCTTTGGCATATATTACCAAATTCTTTCCAGAAGGATAACAAGCAGTGTGTGAATATTTTAGATTCATTGCCAACTGAGCCAGTATTTGTGGATTATCATTTTTTAAAGTTTTTCTAATTTAATGGGCATAAAATGTATGTGTATTCTTTTAAAAATTAACACATTAAATAGATTCTTGCTGAAGCATCAGGGAAACCAGTTAATTAGCTGACTTTAAATAGCTACTCCACATAGATATCACTAGATTAATTTGATATTAGATAAAAAGATATTACTTCAAATTGGAGACAAATGATTACCCATTAATTTTTATAAAACAGATTATATGAAGTAATTCATCTTGACCTATGTTTTCTCTGTCTACATAATGTGAGCAAACCATTCAAAATGTGGTTCTATAGAGCAGCATTGGATTTTGGCATAAAAGTAGTCAGTCAAAATTCCTTTACGTGCTTTTGCACAGTTGTTAAATAACTATTAATTCAACACTTTAAGCATTTCAATAGAATGTTTCTAGTTGCTCTATGTGTCCTAAACAGAAAACTGCTTTGTTTAAAATAAATCTTCAATTACTTTGATGTTTCATGGGAATATATTATATTAATATACCTATTAATGACTAACATAGGAAACAGTTTCAAAGAAAGAAATTTAAAGAAATAATCTTTTTCTGTTTAAAAACTGAAAACCATGCTTTGTGAGAAATAGCAATTCAATTATATGCATACTATGTAAGTTTCACATTGAGCTGCTGTTATAGTATAATCTCAGTAACCTTGACAATAACTTCCTATATAATTAGGCAATTAACATTAGATTCATATACATCCAACCCCTTTAGGCCTCATTTTCTTCATATCTAAGGGCAGAAGTAGAAGTAGTAGTGGTTTTCAGGTGTTTCTAGGTATCAAAACTTTCTTCAAAGGAAATCTTACTAGGAAGCCCAGATAGGAGGAAGACTGGTCTGCGTGAAGGTGTGAGGGGTGTCAAGACCAACCTTCTTCCCACTTCAAGGCCCAGTTTGAAATTTCCTAAAGAAAGTAACCTCTAAGTTCCCCTCTACGTTTCTGGTTCCAGATTCAGCTGGTTGGCCATTTTGCTAAGTGTAAAAAATTGCTACTCCAAATACCTTGAGAAACTTTAGAAAACATGATTCTCTGACCATTTTGGTCATTTACTTCATTTTTGTTCTAACCTTTCATTTCATATACTCTATAATAGCTTCAAAGCAACAGGTTTAGCCTGACAAATTTAATTTCAGATTTATAATTTAATTGTGAGCCCACATTTTACTACTAATACATGATAAATTTTTCCTTATGTAGACATTATTACAAGAATAATTATAAAATGATTAGCTCTTCATAAAATTAGCTGCTTGAGAGTACAATGTAATTGAAAAATAAGGGTACATTTACTTATCTAAAATATCACTTTGCTACTTGATTTTTTTTTAATAAAACAAAAATTAGGTGGAACATGTGTTCTCACCCATTGCTTTTATTACTTTCCATGCTTTTCATCTTTACAGTAGAATTTTAAAAGGTCTTTTTTTGGGTCTTTAATGAACAATTAATTTTTGTGGGTGGTCCGAGAACACAGCCTCAAGCCAGGAAATCTGGCTCATAAGCCTCCTTCTGATTTCCTAAAATCTTTTGCAAGTCCCTTAAAAATGTAAATCTTGCTTCCTATTTAGCAATAATAGCACTCAACCACCTGCCAGGGATAACATATTTAGGGGGTTGGTTAGGGTAAGAATGATACAAATAGCCTAATTGTTTTAAATTCTCTACGTGCATTTATTTTCCACCCCAAGAGTCTAAGTCTTGATCACCACCCCACCAGAAACCCACAGGACAATAAAAAAGGCATGTAGGAAAAATAAAACACATAAATAGAATTAAATATTACTCAGCAAAGCTTTTTTTTTTAAAAGAGGCTTCTCTAAAGTAAACAGTGGAAATTTGTGGAGGAGGCTAAGAAATATTGGCTAGAGACTTAATTTAAAAAGAAGTGAGAAAAGATTTTAAATAAAGCAAAAGTTGAACAGTAAGTAGGGAGGTCATTTTTTTAAATTCTTCAGGGAAAGAGCATGCATGGTGGCTACTGTTGGGATCTCAATTGTCCATTTATTCAGCTCAACCCATTCAAGTTGAATTTAGGCAAAAGTAATATTTCCAGACAGCTGGTAGGACCTGTCCTGTGCTATACTCCATTGGCCCCCATCGTCCAAGAGGGAAGTTGGGATTTATTTTATTTATTTATCAAGGAGTTTATTCTCCCTGGTGTCCTAGTTGTTAAGGAGGCAATGTCATGTCTTTGCATAAGACAGCTGGTAAATAAATACTGATAGTCTTTTTTGGATACAGAATTCTGTGTTACATTTTTAGATTATACTAAAGAAATAAAAAGCATAGTGCTTACCACAGAGTCCTATAATCTAGCTATGCCCTTGTGAAGTTCAAGCCTTATAATATAATTTAATTATTAAAACTTCAGTGGATTACTTGAGAAAAACACAGTATTTGAGGTCTGCAAAAATTAATGAGCCTTCCAATTATGCGCTTTTTTTCCTGGAAATGACGGGGGCATTGGGGAATAATTTCCATTAATGTGAGCTGGCCAAAAAGCATGAAGGAATTATTCTATTGGCGTGTGTGTTTAAACTTGCCTGGATGGTTTGATACTGCAGGTTACCAGCTGACATCAGCTGAGTGTTACGATCTCCGGAGCAACCGCGTGGTTGCCGATCAGTACTGTCACTATTACCCAGAGAACATCAAACCCAAACCCAAGCTTCAGGAGTGCAACTTGGATCCTTGTCCAGCCAGGTCAGTCAAATTTACTAGTTCATTTGTCATAAACATAAATCAAGTTCCAAATACACTTCTTAAATTAAAATGAAATATTTTAATTAAAAATAAAATGAAATGAAACATAAATAAGCGTTGCTGTCCCGTGTCCATTCCTAATCATGTGTGATTAATACCCGGGCTCCTTGCTCTTGCTGCTGTGTGATGCCATTTCAGGGTCTGTGGGCTTTCTTTTTGAAAAGCAGCCAGTGATGTGCTCTTCACAGTCATTTTCTCTTCTGATTTCTTTCCATTCTGTTTCCTTGTTTCTGCCCTTAACAAGCTCAGACCAATGAACTACTTGATATTCTGAACCAGTGGGATGGCCCGACGTTCTCAGATTCTTTCCACGTTTTCTCTGTCCCTGATCAGGGACTCAATCAGAGCAGACCAAATTTCAGGGCCGCAACTGATGTATTCTAGTCTGCAAGTGGTCCCACACTGATTAATTAGAGTCAAAACAAGCATTGGAATAGTTTTGCTGCTTTTGAACAAACTCAGCCTCTGCTAAAGAGAAAGCAGGACTTATATATCCAGTAGTCAGATTTTCAAAAGACATTTTTAAATAGGAGCTTAATCAGGCATTTGACACTTCCAAACATGATGGCTTGCTTTTTGGAGACCATAATTGGCCTTCACATTATTTGCAGGATCAAGAATCCACCTGACAAATGAAATATCCTCAGATTATGAGTAGTCATGGAAGTGCAGGTCAGGGACCTTTTCATGAGTGTAACATTTGCTTTTGCGGTTGCAACACTTTCTGGTGATTCTTTTCAGTAACTTAGCTTACTCATCCTTAATTTATAGAGAGGATAGGAGAAAATCCTTCCCCTACAAAAGTAGTTATGAACACCAAAAGGTAAAGAATTCCTTTCCAAACTCCTTGGATTTCTGAGAACCACTTCAATGTTGTTTTTTAAAATCATAGTTTACTAATTATACATACATAAAAAGAAAGCTTCAAATAGTTAAAATCTATATGGACAATGTTGATGCAAATTATTATACTTTGGGATTATTTATGTTCTTATACTCTTTCTATCTTATGTTTATGAATTCTAAATGCTACATGTGATGTGAAATTGCTATTATTAATTAACTCATAGGAACCTTATTACCTACCTCATAAAAGAGAACTCAGAATAGCAGGCTTTCATTAAAGGAACAAAAGAATAGATATTTCATAACTATAAAATTTAGGTCAAGTTTAATTAGCTTCATATCATACCAGAAAATTATATATTAAAAATTGGATATGATATAAAAACCGAATAAGTTATTAAATTTTTGCTTGGATTTCTATATTTTGGAAATATTAAAGGTTTAATATATTTTTAGCCAAGATAATTATAACCCATGCAATTCAATTTTATTTAAAATTATTCTACTTATACATTTTTATGCATACCTGTATCAGCCAGACCAGTGTGCAAAAAGCCTAGTTACCCCAATTCAGACAGGTCAACTCAGCCATAGGGAGATTTTGAAAGTCTTCTACACATTTCCATTGAAGTTTGTACATGTATTTCTAGGAGAAATGAAGGGTTCATTTCCCACACCTTCATAAAGCTTTTCCCCACTAGGAAAAAACGCCAATGAGGTGATGGCCATGGAAGACAATTATGAAATAAAAGCATTTTGTTAACAATTTGAGGAAAATGTTTATAATCAGAAACATTTACTCATTCTTTCTGGCCTCTGATTTTTACCCACTTTTCTCTGTTGGAGTAACATTTTTGGGCTATTTCTTATTATCCAAAGCAAAAGGCCATTCTACATTGAGAGAAGACTGCCTATGCAATTTATGCCTTTTCTATGTCCTATGTTATTTTAAATCATCTAATACAGCACATGAATAAATGTTGGGACAGGTGTCTATTTAAAAAAAAAAAGAAAGTGAGAAAAGGGAAAAGAAAAAAATAAGTTACAGACAAATGTCAAGAAACTGCTTTATATTGAAGAAGTGATTAGACAAAGCTGTAAAAATTAAGGCTTACCAGTAGCAGAAGTTTGAAGGAAAGCTGCTTTAGAAAACGTAGTTACACTTTGCTAAGGTTAACGTACTTCAGGAATTGCCCTGAAATTCATTGAGCTCTTTTGTATACCTGGGATCAAAGTAACCCTTCTGAATTTTAAGAGAAAATGAGATGTGAGAGTCTGCAAAAAAAGTAGGTAGAAGAGTTTCTATAAAAGAGGTCTGTTCTCCCTTCAGTCACAGCAGAATCAAACCTTCAAGAAACTATTTTCTAACTACAGGTTTAACGGTCTAATAGTAAAATCAAGAGCGAACAATGACATTAAACTAACACTTTTATGTCCAAAACTAGAAACTCCCAAAAAGGAAAACATAGATGTGTTTAGTACAAAGTCACATATTTTTGAATTTAAAAATAAATTTATTATATCTAGCCATTGAGATGTTTACACATTTGTCTTGAATCGCACTAGGATTTTTGACCTATTATAGTATTTAACAGCAAAATCCCTTTCAGATAGCCAAGTTTATTCACTTTCAAGAATGGTAAGTATACTGACAACAAAAATGGCACTAAGTATTTAAGTCTATAACCTTAGATTTATTACTTTACCATTTAGGGCCTCAGTTTTCTCACCCACAAAATGGAGGTGAGAAGGTTGTTTGTTGCATTAAATTAGTGTTTTTTAAACTATACCCACAGAACTTGTTCCACAGTTTCTTTATTAAATTTTGTTTTATGTAGTTTAAAGTGTTTTTAAATAACTCACAAAAATATTCAAACATGTTAAACAATGAATTTTAACTGATTTCAACTGATTTCAACTAAGTTAAATCATAAAAAACTATTGTAACAATTATAAAAATGTCACACTACAAACGTAAATGCTTTTTGCCCTCATCATTAAGTTTTTCAATTATGTCTGTTTAATCAAAAAAAATACATATCCTAAGATTGCAAGGGAAGCTGTAAAAATGGTTTCCATTGGCAACTACTTCTCTGTGATAGTAAGAATTTTCTCATCACTACACATCTAAAAACAAACAAAGCAGAAATAAACTGGGTGTGACCACCAATAGCCATAATCCCTCATGTCTGCTTTTTGTGTTTACCGAAATAGCTTCCCTGTTCTCATTATATTGCTTCATAATAATCAAAAGTTATACATTTGAACTGATCAACTAAAACTATAAATATTGGTGTCAGGTGTATATATTTTGCTCTTCTACACAACATAAAACCTTTCAGTGACCAAACTGTTTCTACATCACTGCTTGTAATTGTATCCATGGCCCCTTCCAACTTCAAATATCAGTGAGGATTATAAATATCAGTCATTATTGTAGTTTTAGGAAGTTTACAACAGCTTCTCAATTACATGAACAACTTCTAGGAGTTGTCTTACATCAATAGAGACGTGAAGTAGGCACAGGAAACCACTGGCATGGAGGAGTCTGAGGAATATCTCACTCCTTACTATTTGTCCATTTTTTTGATTCTTGTTCTATCTTCCTTTTATTCCCACCATTTTCTTTCTTTGTTTTCCATCTCTTTTTTTTTCTGTCCCTCCATTTTTTCTCTCTCTCCTTGTTTCCCTTTTTCATACTCATCGACATCCACTGTCTTCCGTAGAGGCAGATTACTTATGAAGTTCTTGAGGTTAAAGAGATTGTTGACATCTAGCCTATTCTTTTCCAAATTTTTATGTTTTGATGCCTTTTTTCTGATTCTAAATGCCAACTTAGAAATGTCGATAAATTAAAAGGCTGTAACGGAAATAATAAAATTCACTAATAATCACTAATACCCACAGATAACCACTATTAATGCTTTTGCTGTATTTCTTTCCTGTCTTGTCTATAGCTCATAACATAGTTGAAATCATACCCTACACAGTAGATACTTGGAATTAAATGATTTAGCATTCTTGGTTTCCATTCTTCTAAAAGCAAGCCTGGATTCTCCATGGCAAAGAGTAATTTGACATTTTGCTGAGGCAGGAATTTAAGTCACTTGTACTATGAGACCAACAGTTGAGCCTAGCTGGCTGCCCAGCAATTTCTTCCCAAGAGGGCTTTGTTGTTCTCTGCTCATGTCATTTATGCAGTCATTCTTCTGAAGTGATAAAATATGTTGTTTCCTCGCCAAAAGTTGTCTCAAAAAGGGAGCCAAAACTCAATGCTTATAAGGGAAATGAAAAGAATGTGAAGTATAAAGATTTAATGACTTTTAGCTAAAATTAATTAATATTTTTTATTGGCAATGCAGAGCTATGACATCACTGAGCCCATCGTATGTTCTATACATAGTATATTATATATTCTGGTGGTAGTTCCAACTTGGGCACTCCCAGAAGTCCAAAGACTTGCCCCTCCTTATGGCAAGGATCCACTGCGTGTTTAACTTATTTTCTGCTTCATTTAACACTACGTTATGAGTCCTTTCCCACATGACAAAGACATTTGGGATCAAATGTAAAAGTTTCTCATGTGCCAACCATGCTATGGTCATAGCTTCTGTCTTACACCAGGGGAGATTTTGTTTTTTGGAATTTGTGCAGTGATTTATGCCATTTTTATCTCTTGGGTGGAGGGTCAAACCCATCATGCGGCCAGAAAGCCTCAAACTGCATGCTTGTGGTTCAGCAATAACTAAAAAGGCATAGTTTTAATTCAGCTAATAAGCACTTTATATTTTCAGAGCAGCTTTAAGTGTAAAATATGCAACATTTGCCTTACCTGTCTGGCCTGTGAGATAGTAAGACTGTTAAGGCTGTCTGGGGGAAATTGTGCAAAACGCTGTTTGTGAGATAATCAGAGAACCGCCTTTTCACTTTTTTCTTTTTTCTTTTTTTTTTGGCCTGGACCTCTGGTTTTCCCTCCAAGGCAGTAATGAAGGGGGCTTAAATTGGCAAGGGGTGGACAAGTGAAAAAAGGTCTCACTCATCACACTATCATGGCCGCAATCATTAGCAAACAAATCTGTTTCTAGCTGAAACTG